CCCTTTTATTCTGCCTACTGTTTATGCTTGTGTGGGTTGAGCTGTTGCATTGAGGAAGATGTACGTCTCTCTATGGCTTCTATTTATTTTGCAAGCTGCGAGACAGCTGCTGACTCTGAGGAGGATTTTCCATCCGACACTGATTTTGGGGCAAACTCAAACAATTCAGATTAAAGTCTAACCTTCACATGTAGGGTGTAAACCTTAGATCCAACCAAAAAGCACTAACTGGAGACCTTGATTTTGCAATTTTCTGCCTTCAACTTTCATCAGGTTGCTACTCATTTCTTTGATTGCTTTATCCATCAACACTCTTACCGAGCTGGATGTATGTCAGTGTGTCGTGTTGTGTTTCTCTACGTGCCACGGGGTGTTTACAGACCAGTTTCAGTGGACCCCAGCAGACCCACCTTATCCCCTCCGACGCCGGCGGCGGAGAGGGGCTCGTCGGCGGCGGACAGCGGGTGAATGATCTCCGCGATGGGCTTCTGCCCCGAGCTGGCCAGGCCTTTCGGAGCGCCGACACTCATTCTCCAGGAGGTGGGGACACGTGTTCCCCCCGATTCTCCGCGGCCAAATCCCTTAGTTTACAACAGAAAGAGGGTTTTTTTCTCTCTCTCTCTCTCTCTCTCTTCGGTTCAGGTCTCCTCAGTTTGGATGTTACACCCGCTAGTTGGTCACATCTGTCAGCTGACTCCAACTGCGCAGCTCCGGAAGTTAAACCACACGAACCCGGTAGTAAACATGTCTGTCATGTGATAGAAAGAAGCGAATGAAACGCTAAAGATCGTCTATTAACAGACACACTACTACTTTCCAGATGTCATGATCGGTATCATATACTAAAAAGGACTGGAATGTATCTCCTCTATTTCTGTTCGATACTATTTGAATGTATACTGTTATTTGTCAAGTTTGTTGTAAAATAGCTGAAGCTTATTATTAATTTACAACAATTGTGGTGTAAAGCTCTCAATTGAATTTGCGTTTTTGTTTTTGGTTATTGGAAACAGTAGCAGAGTGAGACCTCTTCATTGTTACTCCTACCTAAACCTATCCGACTGAAAACACCGGCTGTGAACAGCTTGAAGGGAGTCAACATGCGACTCATCAGCCGTACATAATAAAGGGTTTTATAGGCATTTTAAACTTTCAGTGACAGTTACAGTAGTGTGCAACAGTTCCATAAATTCCGTGTAATCCATCCAGGTCCATTTCAAGTTTCACTTTTCATTCGGGGGAACTTTTATCGCTGTTTTGTATCCACCAGTGCAACACAAGCTAGGCTAAAGGAAACACACAGAACTTAAAAGCGAAACAATTGAAAACTGTGTTTATTATCCTGAGGTTCGTCTGCTGCCTCCACTACCATGGCTAGTAATCCCCCAGGGCAAGGTAATTTCCTTTATCTCTGGGCCAAAGCTACTTGTATGTGGTTATTGGTCACGAAAGCTGGACTCCTTGAAAGCATGAAGAAAATGTAAATGAAATTCTTTTCAAATAGAAAACCGAGAGAGCTAAAAACACCTGTACGTTTTACTAAAGGCTTAAATAATGGAAACAGGGTGTCAAAGAAAGGTCAAAGAAATAGTCAAAGTCGTATCTTTTCTGCTTGAGAAGGTATTTATTTGATACACTCAGTGCTACCTTGACGTTTACCTCTTTAGTGTAAGTTTTACATTCAAACAATGCAGATGTTTCTTTCTTCTTATATACCATTTGTGCTTGGAATGATTTTGTCTACTCAAAATGTTTTGTGAAATAATTTGTCAGACTCACTTTTCCTCTCCCTCTGAATTGTTGTTTCTTCCCCTCTCTGTTGTGTAGCCTTCCCCAACAAGGCCAGAGTGGCAATCCTGGCTGAGATCGAAAAGGAGAAGAGACGACTGTTACAGAGTCAGACCATGAAAACACCTGGAGCCAGGTAGGGATCATGTGAAGTCACTGAGTGTAACATGAGTTTTCCCCAAGTCTAAAGCATTGAGGAACTGGGGGGTGGGGTATATCAGTGATGTGGTATATTTATAGTATAAGCATATAAGTGAGGGAATAGTTACATTTAAAACTCTTGATTCTCCTTCCCCTTCACGTGTAGCATCTCCCTGTCCAGGCCGAATCTAAAGGAGTTCAGAGACAACGCAGAACAGCAACACATTGCTGCCCAGCAGAAAGCTGCTCTGCAGGTGAGACTGATTAAAAAAAAAAAAAAAACATTGCAATTTTTTTTTTGTTGGCATTTTTATTTAATTTTATTGACTTTAACGATCCTGAGCAAACTTACAACTTTTCATTTTGTTATTGTGGGACACCGTACTGACACTCGTAGACAAGAAACACAAACAGAACCTGGAGACCTGCATTATTGGAGCGATGTCAGAATAGGGGGCTGCACAGGGACTGGCACCCCTAGCCATTGTGGGTTCGGTGCCTTGCTCAAAGACACTTGGGCAGTACTTGTTAAGGTAACTGGTACCTCTCCAGCTACAGGTCCAATTGCCAAATGTGTCCGTACTGGGTCTTGAACCGGCGACCCTGCATCAGTGATGCGTGTGTGTGTGCGCATATGTGTTCCATGCCTCTCATGCTTCATCAATGCTGTAATGCAGAATGAATTCACACACTTTATGGATGCCATGTGTAAGTACAAAGGAGCGAGGAGGTTGGAACCTACAGTAGTTACAGCGCTGTAACAGAACCCACAATCTGAAAGGTGCTTTTGACTATTTTGCATAATAAGTCATGTTTGATTGAATCCCAGCTTATTGCCAGGCACCAGTTTGAACAGAGTTCTGCCAATGTTTATTTAGGAGAGGAGTACGGTACAGAGGCTCCATTTTAACAAATGGTAACACAAAACTTGTCCTGACTTTCTTCTCTTTCAGCATGCGCACACACACTCATCAGGCTTCTTCATTACTCAGGACTCCTCGTTCGGGAACCTCATCCTCCCCGTCCTGCCTCGCCTGGAGCCTGAGTCTTGACCTTTTAACCCCTGCCCCCTCCCACACCCCCTCCAAACAACGCCACCACCATCTCCCATTGCTCAGTCTGAGCCCAAAGCATTGAAACGATCCATGTGCACATAAGAGCCATTGTCTCTCCCAGTTTCCTCTTTTTAAGTCTGTGATTAATGGAAAGTCATATGTCATGTTATAAACAACCTCAGGGGAGTGTGAATCCACTTGACATTATCCAGACAAGCAAGCTGACTGCTGATTTTAGGTTTCAAAACAGACGCAAGAAGACTCCAGATATCTGTGAAACATCCTGGAAGTCATCCAGGGGCTGAAACAAACGCCACAGATGTGTGCGGAGTCCTGCTCTGTTGCTTATGTCTGCACTCTTCACACTTCACTTTTCATAACACGCGCACTGTTTCACGTTTTTACATTTGCAAATACTTTGTATTGATATTGGATAATAAATTGTTACATTTGATGCTCTGTGTGTTTTAATATTCAATTCAGTTTTTATTTGAATAGCTATAGGAAAAGGAGATCGAGCTCTTGATACAAAGTCTTTGGCATGTTAGGGTTTCTCACTTTTTATGTGATTTGTGTTCATGATTTTTGAATTGACCGGTATTAAGTGGAAATGGGAAAATAAATCTGTTCTGACGTATGAATAAAACACTGGAGTAAACACAAAGACAACCAACAATTGCTGAATGTCCAAAGAGGGAGGGCGATAACAGGAATACTTCTGGTGGCCAGCCAACATGGAAGTGTTAAATAGAAGGACAAAAGTAGGGTTTGGTATTCCAGGCTATCTATTTGCTATTAGTAATGAAAGACGCTTACCTTACCCAATAAAGTTTTAGGTGGTTTATTGTCCAACTGTGGTCTGCAGAACATGGAACAACATAATGAATATTTATATTTAAATACATATATTTCCAAGCATAACTAAACTTCTTTGAATCACTGATCCCTGAAAACAAAATATGAATGAAACTGGTACAAGGTTGCTATTCTTTCAGCAGAACTATTGCACAGATGTTTCAGAGTCACAAGGAGAAATCCACTGAACACAAAAGATTTGTAAACTCAAGTTGCAGTAACGGTGATCAGAAGGAAAGAAGATTATGAAGAATTTGTAAGACAGAAAAAATCAACAACCTTTCAGTATTATATCTGAAATATGTACTATTTTCTATAAAGTACAATCAATGTGGAATATAACATTTCGATTCAGTAAGCACTATCGATCACTTAATCAGAATGGACAGCAGTTCTGATTTTGCCTTCACTGTTTTGATCTGTGCTTTAATGTTTTCATCCATTGCCAGTTGGCAGCGGTGTCCATAATGTGTCAGTGTCTTTATCATTCAAGGTGCCAGTGGATCAAACACATCCAGAGCAGCCAGGCAGAGCTTGTTGTTTACCTTCTCTGTGATGAAACACTGACCTCTAGTGGCCATAGTGCATTAACGCAGGAGGAAGGATAACAAGCTTTTTTTTTAAGCGCATATTATATTATACTTCATTCAGTAAGCCTTCTCATGGCTGCTGCGAAACCTTTTCGGTCAGTCTCTGAGCTTATTGTTTTTTGGCAAGTTTCGTGAAATTCAAAGACACTAAAAATGTGCTTTAAATTGCGAACTGTTTCTTGGTGTGTAAGGATGTTTGGCCACATTACAGGAAACAGTAGCTTGACACAGCAAATGTGTGAAACCGCTCCCTACATAAAAATAATCTATTAGACCTATTCAAAAATAGTTGTAGGCTATGACAGGAGACATTTAGGTCTAATTTTATTTAGGCCTTTTAGTTTAAAAACAAACAAACAAACAAATGTTTATGAAAGGGATGCCATAAAGAAATTGTAGTCATATTACAGAGAACAGGCCAATACAATCCAATAGCCTAAATTAGCCTTTTAAAATGAGGTGCAATGTTTTTTCCATCTATAAAATCGGTGACTTGACTGAACTTGCTCCTGGCTCCACCCTCCGTTAGTCAGCCAGTCCACTACGTGTTAAGACCACAGACTGTAAGACTGGTTGGTGCCTTTAACTTACAAGCATCTAGGGGAGACGAGGAGAAGAAGAAAAAAAAAAAAAGAGGAACGTCCCCCCCCACCCCGGCTCTTATCTGGAGCTACAAACCCGAGGAAAAGTTCGACAACTTTTTCACATTTTGTCGACATCTTGCCATTGAACGCGTTATGCTCATAGGATTTACTTTCTTTGCATTTTCCGACTAGGATTAAGTTCTGCATGGAAACAAATGATATTTGAACCCGCACAGAGGAGCGGAGAGAGGAGGTGGGTGTCGGATATATAACCCAGTGTGATTCTGTTCTTGTTCTTTAATGCATGTATACTCTGCATGTACAAGAAGCCCTGTTTTGGGTTAACAAAGGTAAAACAATAAAGCATTTGGTACCGCTGCGTGCTCAGTCACTCAAGTTTTAGGAAGATTTTAAAGGTGTAACCCGTGGAGAAAACGAGGTTGCGGCAACTTTGCAGCGAAACGCAGGACACAGAAAGAGAGAAGTGCAATATAAGAACTTAAATCATGGCGTTGAAGGCCAGAGTGTTGTACGACTTCCACTCGGAGAACCCAGGGGAGATCTCCATAACAGAGAATGAGATGGTCACTCTTTTCAACGAGGAGGAGCTGGAGGGCTGGCTGGAGGGGGAGAACAGCAGGGGGGAGGTTGGTCTCTTCCCTGCCTCCTATGTGGAGATCACCAAGGACCATATCACCTCCAGCACCAACAACAACAACGGACTCTCCTCGCCCAAGTCCAAAGCCCTGACGCCCACCCACACCTCCTACACCTCCTCTGACACCCAGTCCCAGAAAGGACTTGGGGCTGGGAGTGGTGGCAGTGGGGGAGGAAGCTTCCACACCAGTCATGGCAGTGATGATGACTGGGACGACGACTGGGATGACAGCTCTCCCGCCACCGATGCGCCACAGGGTTTTGGCAGCACGCCACCCTTGTACCCGGTGACCACCTCTTTGCCAGGGCGGCGTGAGAGCACCCAGCAGCAGCAGCAGCAGCAGCAGCAGCATCATGCAAAGAGCTCAGGGACCGTGGGGAGGAACCTCAACAGGTTTTCCACCTTCGTCAAGTCTGGCGGGGAGGCTTTCCTTCTTGGGGAGGCCTCTGCTTTTGTCAAGGATGGGGACAGGATCTGTGTGGTGATGGGGAAGCATGGGCCAGAGTGGCAGGAGGATCCGTATCCTTTCACTTGCACCATTGACGACCCGACCAAGCAGACCAAGTTCAAGGGCATGAAGAGCTACATGTCCTATGGCTTGACCCCAACGCACACTAATACACAAGTTAACCGCAGGTACAGGCATTACTTTGTCTCTTTTCTCCTCTTCTTCCCTCTCTGGGGTTTCCAAATTGGCCTTATTTCTTTACTTTATCCCCCAGAACCAATACACTTCAAACAAAGGTTTTTTGTTTTTTTTCCTGTGGCCACAATTGTTCCAACATTAAAGTAAAACCAGAGCTGACTGTGGCCTTTCAACCTCTAGAGTCCTCAGGAATCTGCTCCCTCTGCACCCTTTGTCTTGTTTCTCTGTTATATGCTCTGTACATTCAAACCAACTCTTATTCCCTTTCCATTTCAAGGACCTTGAACCTTGGAACGTTTTAGCTTCCACTTTCTCATCTTGGTGAAAGTTTTACCCACTTGCTCTGACATTGTCCCTCCTTAACTTTTCTCGCTATTCCAGCTTTTTTTTTTTTTTTACCTCCCTTCTGAATCTCCCTCACACTCATTTACCAAACCTTCTCTCTTCTCATCCACGAACGAAGCCTCCATATATTTCTGAACCTGTTCTCCCTTCCATCATCCCTGCAGGTATAAACACTTCGACTGGCTGTATGCTCGCCTTGTGGAGCGTTTCCCGGTCATCTCGGTACCCCACCTGCCGGAAAAGCAGGCCACCGGTCGATTCGAGGAGGACTTCATTTCAAAGCGGAGAAAGGGACTAATGTGGTGGATGAACCATATGATCAGCCACCCAGTGCTGGCACACTGTGACGTTTTCCAGCATTTCCTAACATGCGGGGCTGATGAGAAGGCCTGGAAACAGGGCAAGAGGAAGGCAGAGAGGGATGATCTGGTCGGGGCCAATTTCTTCCTCACAATTAGGTAGGAAAGTGCTTCATGGTTACGCAGTGGGTTTGAATAGATTTGAATCATCAGTATATACAGATGTTTGTCCTGCTTCCAGCACTCACACTGTAACAGCTAACGTATCCTGAAGGTTGCTTTGGAATGTCAATTACTGATATTTTCAAGAGCTCCAATAGAGTTGTCAACATGTTTCGCTGCTCTAAAGCCTCATTCCCGCTGCATGTTACAGCGTCTGACACATTTTTGTTACCGAGTACTTCTGACCTGTGTTGCTCCTGTTAACAGCAGCTCATCAATGTGGGAGGATTCTTAGCTGGATTATGTTGACACAGCATGAAACTGCAGTGAAATCATATTACAACAACTCTGAGTTTTTTTAATTTTATTTGGTTAATATCTGGTTAATTTAATGAAAAAAATGGTGGAAGCCATTGATGTGTCATTGCATTTGCTTGCGTGTGGTGTCTTGGTTTGCAATAATATAGTGACAGTTGTTTCAGACCAATCCAGAGTTTGCATTGTTTTGACTCCAGCTTTTAGCATTTAGTCACATCATTCGTGTTGATCCAAAAAGTACAAGGAACCTTGTGGCATCCCACATTTTTTGACAATGGGAAACCAAATAACGACTGTTTGTGGAGTTATGTGGATTCAAGCCAAGTTTATTTCTCGAGTCCCTGCATTGCAAAAGCAGTAATCAAACAAGGAGAAAAATATTGAAGAAGAGGCTTAGAGACTATTGTCTATACGTATATCCAAGAAGAAAATAGAACAGAGTAGAAGGCTGCAATTGCAAAGGTTGGGTTTTCCTTACCCTCCCAATATGAAAAACTATTACTGTCATTGCTCTTTTGACATTACTATTACCAATTGCAGTACATCTTTAATGTGCCATATCAGCTTCTTGCTCCATCTCTGGAGATCACACCAGCTGTTGTTGCAGTACAAGTTACGGCATGTTTAGTGAAAGAAAATACACCCGACCACAAATAGTAGCACTTCCCACAATGATACACACACATTTTATGATGAACAGGGGATGGACAAAAATAACAGGGATCGTAATTCTTTCCCATTTAAAAGTGTTCTGGGCCTACAACGTATATGTTGTTTATAGTTTGTCAAAGAGGTGTAAATCAGACTTGTAGTGGTGGTTTAGACGTTTGTCAGTAACCACTTTATAGCGGTATAAAGTACCAGGGGAGTATATTTGCCCTTAAGCATGACATTGTTATCAGCTTCCCCGTTCCAGTGTGCTGTAACTGAAATCTTTCACCATAGGGAGTGTCTGATAGTGAGGATGAAATTTGTAGAACAGAGGAATAAGTTGCGCTAACATGTTTGGGTAATAAAGATGATGTAATGCTGAAATAAATACAAAACAGAAGAGCTTTTGAAATAAAGCCTGTAGTGTCTCTCACAAAAAGTTTTCTTTATTTGTTTTCTTTAGTACTCCCCTGTCCTACTTGACCTCCAGGAAGTTGAGAGCAAGATTGAAGGATTCAAGACGTTCACAAAGACGATGGACGAGAACAGCGTCATCGTGAACGCAAACATCAACGAGTTTGCTCGCAAGCAGGCGGTAGGGTTCAAAAAGGAGTACCAAAAGGTTGGACAGTCCTTCAAACTTCTGGCGCAGGCTTTTGAAATAGACCAGCAGGCGTACTCAGTAGGCCTGAACAAAGCCATCGCAGACACTGGTGAGGCGTACGAGGCCATTGGAGAGTATTTTGCTGAGCAGCCGCGCCAGGACCTGGATCCTATTTCTGACCTGCTGGACATCTACAGAGGACACCTGGCCAATTTTCCTGACATCATCCATGTACAGAAAGGTGAGAGTGTGTGAGTGTGTGTGTCTGTTTGAAGGGGTGTCTAAACTCATTGTATGCCACAGTTTCCATTCAGTCTTTTAGAGAGAAAATGCTGAACATAAGGGCTGCGCTATGAATGTGGAATTTATGGGATAGGCTGGTATGTTGAGCCTTAGTCAGAGGTATCTTTTTTTTTCTTAGTGATTTTTCTGCCTGAACTTTTAGCTTGCATCTTGCAGCAAAAGTGTTTTTTCCATTAAAACTTTGTTCTGTTCTTCATTGTCATTCATTATCACTGCCTTTGTAAAGAATACAGCCCCCACGGGCTACATTTCAGTCAAATGACGCCCTTTAAAGTGAACGCCCATAGAGCCTGAAAGTTTGGTTCTGGAGGTTTGGTTCTTTTTTTTTTTTTTCGAGGCAGCTAGCGGTGAAGCCGTCTGGTCATGGTCTGGAAAATGTATTGTGCACTGCTGTGATTTAACGGCAGAAGTTTGTCAAAAGAGAAAGTGAAGATACATTCAATCTCAAACATAATTTCAAGTAATGTAAGATGCAAGTAATCAATGCAAGACAAAACATATTTTGTTTCACAGGCAAGTCATAAGTCAAGCATTGGCTTCAAGGAGAGCCAGTAGGTCGCAATAGTCGGGACTCTTGCTCGTTGATGATTCTGCAGGGCGGAGGGTTGAATCCAGGGAGGAATTATAACAATACAAGGCCGTTTTTCTTCCCAGTTTCCATGCTGTAGGCTGTTTGACTTCTTCTGCAACAAAAGTTTTTTTTTTTTTTTTTTTTCACTTTGGATTCAAATAATCAATAATGTTTCCAAAAGAAATCTAGCCTTCCGCCTCTATATTGTTTAATCGTGTCAATGTAAAGGCAGACAATACACAGAGGTCCAGATTCTGACTGTTTCAACATCTGTTTTCATTTACTCAACTGCAGCGTCAATCTGCGTTGAAAACTGAAACCCATGGCCAGTCCATTGTATTAGTCTGAGTACTGCGAGTGCCTGTACTGGCTCTCTGGAAAACACAAACACAGAAACACACACACTCACAGTCATGTACAAAGGACTTGCAGAGGAGTTGGCTTGTTAGTTCCCCGCAGGTTGGGAGGAGGGAGTTGCTGCTGGCACGCACAGTCCTGGCGTTTGCCAAACTAAGGAGGCACTGTTTCTATAGTGCACTGAGTTCTGTTCTCTAGATACAATCACAGCTCCGACAATGGAAACACCGACTGAATCCCAATCGTCCGGGTAACTGACAGGACTTCACCTCCTTTGTGACTGACAAATAACACTTGGTTTTCTGTCTCAGAAAGAGCCTTTAATTTCTTAAAAACTTTTCATGTGTCCCTCACTTGTAATGCACCGCAGGTAACAGATTCTACTATTTAAGTTTCAAATCATTAACTAAAGTTTAGATTGTTTTCAAAATTGGTGAAGTTGATATGAAGAGATTTCCTACTTTGTGGACCAATCAGGATATCAGAAAGAAAGAGTGGATGACGTCCGGGAATGGAGCCACAGGTTGAAATCAGCCTTGGACCACATACTTAGATGACTATAGTCTCCGGACATGGGGTGCAACCTAACCCGCTAGTCCAACTGGCGCCTTCTTAACTTATCACAACTTAACAATTTTACTCAATCAACAAAGTCTCCATTTTCACATAGCGGCCATGTTCCTCTGACAGCATGCTCATTGTTGGAAACTCCAAAACACACTTAAATTGATATTAGTAATGTGGTTGAAGGTTGTAAGTTGTTTGAATTAAGAGAGTCTAGTAATCATTTCACCATTACATTTTGTTGTGCAAAAAGAATTTGGCAATCTGATTAGTTACCACCAGAAAACAGCTAATGCTAGCTGCCTCTTAGCTAACATTACTATTAACTAGCTACTAGCTGAATGCTATCATTACCTTTTAATAGTGCCGTATGGTAGAATTAAAAGGGATACATTCCTAGCTAACAGTTTTAGCATAAAGTGGCTGTATGTTAACATAAGCTGTTGTCTGATGATAGCTATCAGATAATGTTGTTTTTACTTGGCCTCGTGTCCCTCTGAATCTTCGATATACTTCGTCTTTCCAGATGCTAAAAACCAAAAGCATTGAAATGAGGATTAGTTGTTCTACTACTTTTCTGTGACTAACATTTTGGAAGAGTAGCCTATCATAACATCATTTGAGCTTCCCACCTTGAGACTTGTGATTGAGGAAAATTGCTGCCATGTAATGATGGCCAATTTTACCCAAAACTTTGCTTAAAAGACTTCAGCGAAGTTGAAAGTATTGTCAAAGGATGACCTCATCATTTCTACCTACATAAGGTATCATGCTAAGCAGTCGTTCTTTGTTTGGCACGGCTTTTAAGCGCATAGCAATACTTACTGATGAAACAAATTAGATTGATGTTAAAAGTGGAAATATCAGTTCTTGCACTCTACATTCTTAGTAGTGGCTTCCCTTCTTAATTTTATTTACTGCTGCCTGAACTTCTCAAATCACAAACTAACTGACAAAACATGTTGAGTTTTACGAAGAGAGCCTCTGACTCAACGTTCATAAAACTAATCAGCATGTTTTAGATCATGCCATCAGTCCTGGCTGAACGTTATAAGGAAGAACAGACACTGAATGAACCATCACTGCCGTCATAGGAAGCTTTGTCGTTTCATCTGCTGAGTAACATCCATGACCACCTCACCATAATGCAGAGTCTGCACTACTGCCAGAGTTGTGAAATAACAACCTCTGACGAAGATAGCTGCTGAGTCAAAGTTTCCACAAACAGTCAATTTAGTGAAGGACTCTAATGAGAGAATGCTGGTGGGATATGTTTGAATGAGAGCATAGACATTTGGACTTGAGGTTTTTTTTTCCCCCATCTTACTGTGGCATTACACTCTTTTCAAGAAGCAGGCGAGTATTAACCCCACATTTTAGAGACATATACTTCCATTCCTTTCTCTCAAGGTCTACATGTCACAAATATACCTCATATGGTGCCAAACATTTCTCAAATACCTTCCAAATTACAAAAACATGACAACATGGCAGCACAGATTAGCTAGAAAAACAGGCAATGGATCTGTGAGGGGACTGATCTGTTGACCTAGATGTCCCCTTACAGTATTCTCTGACTTTGTGGTTTCTGTCTGTGAGGTCCAAAGGCTACATCTGATGTGAATGTGTGGAGATTCCTGGGCCTCTTGTCCTGTGTTGCCCTGGGACTGTTGGAATGCAAAATGGAGCGGTCTCAGGATTAGTCTCCCCTCCTCCTCTTTTCTTCTCCCTCTTTTCCTTCTTCCTCCTGGCGATACAGCCAGTTGAAGGGAAGGAGGAAGAAGGGGGTGGGGGGGGGGATGAACATGTGTGTGTATGTGAGAAGGAGCCCAAATAACTAAGGAGTTGAACAAGTTTCCCACCATCAGTACAAGAGTTCAGCTTAGAGCTTTATAATCGCCTTGGCAGCAAGGAGAGCGAAGTCCAAGTTCATTTTGGTTTATTAGCTTGCTGCAGGAACAGTGTGATAAGTTTGTGTGTGATAGGATGACGAAGTAGTTTATTTTAATAGGCAGCTTGACAGTTAAATGCTTCCATATTAGAGCCTTACCTCAAGTTCCTCTACATCAGCTTGCATGGGTCATGTTAGTCTAAACGGTAACATTTCCTCCTTAAAACATTAGTCACAATAAACTAGACACTCTGAGTCACCACTGGGCGTTGAGAATCTGAATGGAAACCTGGAAATATATTCAACAAGCTTATTTCTGTAGAATGAAGAAATGTCATGATCAGCTTAGAGATTTGGCTTGCCCTTCTCTCTTGCACTCTTTTGTACCACTGTTCCCTAAAGGGAAAGTGGCTGTTCCACTAGCTTCTTTTATTTGGCATAATGGAGGGTTAAAATTGTTTTGTGATAAATACATTTTTCTGCTTTTAAAATTTGATTCCTTTTGAAATGAGAATTATGATACCACTCTCCCGTCTGTTAAGTAAGCTACGGAAAAGAGGACTTTAATATGTAACTCTGACACCTAGCGCTTAAAATGGGGCAGTCCAAATTCAAAACATTGGCGAGAGCTGTCTCCACCCGCCCCCTCTTCCCTAGAGTCAATGCGCACACAGGTTGCCATGTCGCGGACAAGGAAGCTTCAGTGTTTAGCCGGCTCTGCATCGGTGTTGCAACCTTTCTACGTTCTAACCTTTCTCCACTTTTCAAAAGAATCTCCAGTATTTATCCTAGTTTTACAACTTTTCTGGTCTTGGAGTTTAAAAGAAAATGCTGATGCTTTTTAAGTCAGGTGGAATCAGTCTATCTGAACCAGTTCGCTTGCTCAGCTTGCTCAATTCCGTTGCTGCAACACCTGTTGGTTTGGCGTGTTTTGACGTGTATGGGTTTGCCTTTAAACCGCCCACTTCTCTGAACAAAAACAAATACAGACCATACTGGACCAAAATCTAAACTTAGAAGGATGACTGGTTGTTGCATTGTTGACAGAGAAGCCAGCACTTCAATATAGCATGCTGATGATAGAATAAGTTCATTTTATGATTTTATTCAGTAGATATCTTACATATTGGTCCTATTTAAGAAAGCATAAAATGACTTTTTGGACTTAGCCTATTAATCAAATTTTATATCTGTTTTTGAGGTCAGTTTTTGTTTTTTTGTAAATTCTGGTTAAAGTGAGTCTGACAGTCCTTAAGCTGTGCTAGCTTTAAGCTAAACTAGTAGCTTGACATATATGTGAGTGGTTAAAATACGATGAGAAAAAAGTAGATCTGCAAGCCCTGCACCTAGGGAATGTCATAATAAGCGTTTTCCAACCTACGATAAATTGAACTTTCTTAGCTGTTACAATCTCTGTTTTTTTTAAAAGCATCTTTTCAGTATTTCCATGCTTTCTCCCTATTTAAGCTATCAATCAATGAATCATTATTTGTATAGCGCCAATTCATAACAAATACTATCCAGAGACACTTCACAAAAGAGCAGGTAAAAGACCTTACTCTTTTTTATGTTACAAAATAAAAATGGGATAATGGGAGATGGGGAAAAGATGCAGGCAGGATTTCTCCTTTGTATTCCTTGCATTCCTGTTGTAAACACTTCCTTGCCGCTGAGGTGGAGGTCAGAGCAGGCCGTGTATGAATGAGGACGCCGGTGGTTGTGGGGCTGACACAGTCCGATGGTGGTGGCTGAGCACTGAATTTTGGGGGAGCTCTGTCTACTCAATGGCCTCTTAAGATGTAGCTTCATTTACAGACAGACGAGAGAGTGGTAAACATTCAAATTTAGATCTCTGCATAAAGTCATTGCAATGAATAGAAAAAAAAGTATGTACATCTGCAAACAGATATGAAACATATATTATTATGTCTTCCTAGATAAACTGTGTAGTCTGTATGATACTGTTGAGCTTGATCGTTGTTGTTGGTTGCATTTTATTGATTTTCTTGTAATGTTGTACTCTTACCCATACAGATCCTAGAATCCTTCTTTGGCTTCATACTTCATTTACGTGCCAAATCTTCACAGTCTTCTTCTTTTTCCCCTCCCCTTCGCCCTCTTCTTTCCAGGTGCACTGACCAAGGTGAAAGACTGTCCGAAGAAGGAAAGTGAGCTCCAAGACCGCTGCAACATCATTTCCTGCGCCACGCTGGCCGAGATACAGCACTTCCACCGCACACGTGTACGGGACTTCCGCTTGCAAATGCAGCACCACCTCCGTCAGCAGATCAGCTTCTTCCAGAAGATCACAGCCAAGCTGGAGGACACCCTTCAGAGGTATGACGATGACCAGTAGGAAGGAAACCGTTAAGTTAGACGACAAAGGCCATGAGGAGACAAGGTAAAAGGGTGATTGATTGTCTGTCCTCCAGTAATGGAGAAAACCATTTGATCTGATGGATCCTGGGCCCTGTGCAAGAGTACAAAGACCAAATCCCACTCTTGAAAAATGGATGTCACTTGACTTCGAATGACAACTTCTTGGGTTAACTGGACAGCTCTGATGAATGTACCAGTAACATGGAAATTTGCTGACAATCCAGCCACATCTTAAAACTCAGCAGGACTGCCATGATATTAAAAACAGCTGCTCTCACTAAGACAAGGCTGCATCTGGATTCTCTGACACAGGCCCTCCAGATCCCGTCATGCCTCCACTGCCTGAACTCTTCATTTAAAAACCCCTCATGTGGGTAACCCTGAACCCAAAGGAGAACCCCCCCCCAATCACTTAAACTGGATCTTTTAATGATTGTGGAAGAGGACTTCATAAACGGAATGTTTTTTCTCATCTTTCTATGTGTCTGTTTTTTACTTGAACACCCTCTTCAGTATTATTTTAATGGGACTTTATAGCATGCAAGTATGTTTGAATAGGCAAAGCAGACAATGGGCATAGTCTACTCTGTTGATTCAGTTTAGGTGTTTGTTTCATTATAGCTTGAAAAATGACCTACTTCTGATGTCTGACATCTCTCACTAACCTGAAAGTTTCACAGGCTTTTCTGGAACATCAATTTTAAGCCTTGTGTTCTGTGTTTTATGTTTTAGTTGCCTTCCTTAAAGCAATAAGGTGTCAGTCAGTCCGTTGTTGATTTTATGGTTTTAACGACTGTTTCCTTGGTTTTAGAAGCACCACTGCAGCTTTTTTGTAGCTGTAGGCCTTTAGTGTTTGAAATCTGAGGTCCAAATCAGTCTGTCTGACTCATTTCTTGGAGGTCAGAGTGATGCCGCTGGGCACAGACACTTAAAAAAACAAAGGACTCCTGGCATTAGAGCTTTGAACCCATATCTAAAAGTTTAAACCAGCAGTTTGTAAGCGTCTCGTGTCAAAATGATATATTTCAGTTATATTTTATTGTATGAAAAAAAAGTCAGACAGTCTTAAAGGTAAAATATGCAACATTAATGAAGCAGATGTAAAGTATAACCTAATTAAATATTTGAGTAAAAAAAAAGAATGAAGACAAACTCCCTCTGGGCTTGTTCTGATCTCTTACTGTTCATACTGACGAGACGGCGCTTCAGTCTGTTTATTCTTTGCTCAGAGGCTCAAACATATTTTCTTTCAAGTAAACCCTCCCTGTCCACCACTTGAGGGAAGAGAAATGAGTCCGCCCACTAAGGGCCGCTGTATGTTGTGGTACAATGGCAGAGTTTCATTGCCGAGAAGCAGAGAGTTCAATTCAAGGAGATCTGACTGACTTTCCAAACCAACTTTCCAAAAATACTTTAAAGCTATAAGAACCGAATCAACTTTGCGCCGCATATCTGATTGGAAATCGGTCAGAGAAAGAGCTGCAATCCATCAGAACACTGAGGGACAGGAGGGTGGGAGGGGAATTGGTGCACCTTAGGGACAGCTTTTTTTGTTTTGAGGGACTGATGCTATAAGGCAACATCGACTGGAAATCTACTCGGAATGTCGCATATCATACCTTCAAAGACACCAGAGTCTGTAGCCTCTTCTACATTGAGGCTCTGCAGCAGTAACAAAGCTCTGCTGTCACATGGCATTGAGTAGTTTAATATTGAATCGCTGTGCCATTGTATGATTTTACTCAGAAGCAAGATTATAACAGACATGATGCATAATCAACCACTGTGAGCATACAAACACATACACACTCCCATGTTCTACCATCATGACTCCAACGCTTTACGTAGTCTTGTCTCCATACTGCCTCTGAGGCCGGCTTAGTGGTGTAAAGCTCTCATTCCACTATTACTCATCTGACATTGACTTTGATGGTGAGGCAACAGAGGGGTAACTGTTCCATATTAGACAATCAATGTAAAAGGGGCTTATGTTTTGAGCTTCTTTAAAGTGGTCTGACAGTACTGTCTTTAAAACTACCACTTGAGGTAGTATTAAGTTAAAAATATTGTATTTTACGTAGTGGCTTTAAAGGGTTTTGCTCTTCTTGATGCGTGAATGTGCTGCTTTTAACAAGTAGGTTTACTGTCTTAACCTTGTTACAAAGCAACCGGAATTTGCCCACAGAACTGTTTTGTAGGTTGTTTTTTTTTCCAATGTATTGTGACGCTGGGCTAGGACACTTTTTCAATTAAAAGTTTGCATCCTGGAGAGTGTGTTTCAACACACACCATCTTGCAGTGTTTTATGAGCCTGACTCAAAGAGCATGGCCCTGAGTGTATTCAACAGTTAAATCTACAAAGAGACACATATCCAGAAGGTTTGAAATCCAACAAATGTTCTCTCATGACACAACATGCACCATACAGTATGTAACTGAGATAACCAATTGAATGCTTAACAATGGGTTACCATACCAAGTGATGTCAGTTTTCAGCTCACTTATCAGAATATTTCTGATAATGTCAAGGTTTTTTTTTTTTTTTCCTCCTGGGATTCCTGAAGTAGGTTTGTAGTAGGATAAACCACCAGTCAGGTTGTTAACAGTGTTCTGCAGAAACATTTTATTCACCTCAATGAAACTTCAAAAATAATAAAGAACAGCATTTCACTAAATAAATCATCGTAAAGTTCAGTCAAATCTGTGTTGTCAGTTTTCTCTCGGTCTTTTTCTCTGTTGTGTTTACAATATTTTGTATTCGAGTTGTTGTTTACCACTATCGGATGGGAAGCCCATGGGAAACTTCCGGTCTTCCATCTGACCACTTATCTGTTTTTATACTTCCTCAAAGAACTGGCATTTATGACCGCCTATAGCAAATCCAGACGGTTATTTACATAAAATCTGATCAAGTCACTGTGCCTGTACAGTCTCCAGTGTAGAACTGTATAACGTTCATAAATGTTAACGATTATGTCAGATTGTTTATTTTAATCACACACAGATTTATCCTTTATCCATTTTCACAGTAAATGGTGTATTCTTTGTGTTTGCAGTGTAAGGCTTTTCCACGCTTGTTATCGCTTGTTTTTCCTCTGGCAGCAGCATCAGCACGGTCCCTGATATCTGACACCAGAGTTCACAGACTGCAGGTCAGGTTTCATCACTCGCAGCCTCTTCATTATTTAGACCAGCCTCTGTCTTCTCTCCTCATTGCTTTCATTTTCTTTTTAATTGCTGTTTGTTCAAACAATGTAATTCAATGATGATACATGGCTATTGTACATAGGCTAATATTCTGAATCCATAAAGATATTCTCCAGAAAATACTGTAGATATATATCACTGCAAAGGTACATGTTCCTTTAGGGGCTGAACAAATCAAATTATATTGAGATCAGGATTTCCAAAGCACTTAGAATGTGCAAGAAAGAAAAATTTAGTTAAGAAAAATGAGCATGTGTTGTTGTATATGTTATGGGGCGTACAGTATATGGGCCATAAGAGCTGACAAAAATGACTCACCTTTGGTTCCTGTGAAATCCTTTTTCCCTCTTTGCTCAGTGAATGGATCTGCTGGCTGAGGTGTATTTTTTATGGCATATAAAACCTACATGTAGTTTATGTTCGTGTCACACTTTCTTTTTTTATCTATCAATTTCTTTTAGTCCATTTAATATTTTATATTTTCAGCTTTGGAATGTGCATTAACGGTGCACATTTTGATTTCATAAATATATTTAATTCAAAATAAATATTTACTGGTGCATAGCAAAAAAGAGTCTGACACAAAGGGGTCAAATTAACAAAAACGAAGCAACTGAGTAATTTACATACTGTAATGTAATTGCATTGCAAAAGGAAATGTAAATAAATACTGCATGGACCATCTGAAACAGTAAGCTAGCAGCTCACTGCTTTAAAATAAGTTTGTGTGCATGGACTTGAAAGCTTGCAGTTCCTTCAGTCCCATAGGAGACAGTCACTAAGAAATTCATGGTTTTCAAGCAGCAACATGTCAACTATGTATTGCAAAATCCTAAATGAACGCTATCATTTACAACTTGTACTAACGCACAAATACGCTAAGCTAAAATGAAGCTACGATTAATCTGACAGTAAAGGAAATAAAAAAAACTTTCTTGTTCAGCAGCAGTCCTGACAATATAAAACTATATATACAAGAGCAATGAAAGTTATAACCAGTTTAATGAGGAATCAGACAAATGCAAAGAATTTAAAATGCACACTGACAAAACACTGAACCGTCTCGGACTACCCGTATGTCACAAATTACTGACAATTTAGTAACCAATGAAAAATACCTTGAAAAAAGCAGCAACAAACTGCTGCCTATGGAGTAAAAATGGATTCTGCTTACGTTGAATAGTACCTCACTCCACCTTGGTATCTGGGTAGCTTATAGATGGAGACATAGTTTTTAATGACATTGTGAAAGCAACTAAGATTCCAACAGCTAAACTTGGTTTAGTAAAAGAACAGATACAATGGCATTCATGCATTCCCTAAAATAAAAGAGGAAAGAAGCATCATTGTGTCCTCTATAACTAGGTCATGGTTGGTCAAATGTGCCACAGATGACTAAGGAGATGCACAGATGCCATTTATACAGTTCTCGCCAAAAATACATCTCTAAGGCACAGTTTTTCCTTGAAATGCTTCTATCAAACCCAGTACTGGTAGCGTTTAAGAGATGGAGTAGGGGACCCTGTTCCCAAAGATGTCTTATATCCGCCTGGACAGCTGGCACTGCTGTTCTAAGAGGTATATTATACCTCTCTTTACTGTTCATCAGATCACCTCCAACATTTCCATCATCACCTGCTCCTTCGGCATCGAAGGGCCCCCAGAATGTCATCCCAGGGGCCAGACTCCTTCTTCTTGGGGTTATGGGCACCCTGGGGGAGGTAGGGCAGCTTGCAGAGGCTAGTGGAGTGACCACCACTGAGGGCATGGCCACACTTCTCTCAGTCCGACCCAGGCAAGGGCTGTCCTGTGTGAGCTGTGTGCCCGCAGCGAGCTGCTGCAGGAGCCGCTGTCGGGCCTGTTTCTCCTTGCGTCGTCGGAACACCAGAATCAAAACGATTAGGATAACGATGAGGAGCAAACAGGCCAAAAGTGGAAGGATAATGAGGAGAGGGTCAGAGGAGGGGCGAGGGAGGACCTCGACGTGTACCGGTTGGGTGTCAGGGGGGTCTGCTGGACCATGTTTGTGTGTGAGAGAAGGAGTTTTGGGTTGTGGGGCAGGACTGTGACCCTCTCCTGCTCCTTCTGCACTAGTCCCTGATCTATTTCCATTGCTCTCGCTGCGCGTGTGGTTCCCCCATCGGCTGTGATGTCTGTGCTTGTGCTGAGTCCTGTTCTGGTTCTTGGGTGACAAAATGCGAGGCGACACACCCACCCTGACCCTGCCTTGCGTTGTCGGATCCTCTTGTCCAACTCCTCTCCCCTCTGTGGGAGTGGTCTTATTGTGAGTCGGGAGACGGTTTGTGTGTTCACGATTTGCACTTTCTGCTTTGTTTGAGCCACTCGGACCGTGATGCATCTGGTGGTGGGGAAAGATGGCGAAGTGAAGCTCGCCCTTCGCTGGTTGAACGTTTCCCGCTTTCAGGAGAAATGTGAAAGAGTCATTCAGAGGCGTGGCGGGGGCGTGGCCTCGAGCTGTGTTGAGTACTGATTTGTTCCCATTGGGCTGGTTGTCACCGTCACTCAGAGTCTCTTCAATGGCGATCCGGCCTTGCACCACATCTCTGAAGGTAAATGACTTGAGGACCTCTGAGGGTTGGTTGGGGTCGTAGGTGATCTGCAAACACACAAGCACAATACTGGCAGTAAAGTCTCTGAGCTACTCTTTAGATACTCTTTGAATCATTATGCTAAAAATGTTTCTGTTCAGGGAAGTTATGCTTTCAAATATCTGTGTGTTGAACTGAGAGGAGAACAAACAGCTGCTCAGGAGACAAACAGGAATCTCACATGGTGTGGCATGCCACTTCAAACTTTACCTTGACTAACTTTCCATGTTTTGGTGGGGATAGAACCTCAAAGACAGGGTCAGCTCGGCTGATTCTTGCCAGCTCAGAGGCATCCATCATGGCTTTCCCCAGTTTCACAGCGACACCGCTGGGCACTCTAACCTGCTCCCTCAGGTGGATCAGAGGCAGCACAGTTACCTTCATGTGTGCTGTTACATTTCCATAATCAACACCGTGAGATGATGCCGACACCAAGACTTGGAAGCTGTCTCCGATTCGCTGAGTTCAGTCATGTGATAGACTACGCGGCCAAACAGCAGGTCCTCGTGCCAGAAGGTCGTCACTTCGTGGTCGTTTATAGCGATGCGTCCATGGCGAGGGTGCGCTGTGACCGTGTAGGTGATGTTGGCCCTGCTGCGACCATTGGTTTGAGCCGCAAGCTGGTTGGTCGTCAGGATCACAGCAGTCTTGCCTTGAACCAATGACAGGCCAGTGTTGTTCACCACGGAGACAGAGGGCTTTATCACCTCTAGACTAAAGAGTTTGTAAAGTGGACGATGATGACCGTCGGTTACATTGAAGTAGAAAACACCAGCTGAGGGCTCACCCTGGCAGAGAAAGCAAAGAAAGGATAGAAGAAACAAAAGATACATTTTTAACTGCAGGTCTAAAATAGTTTTAGGAACTGAAATTTAACTCCATACAAGGTCTCTGCTCAAAGGGATGTAATTATACAAAGCTTAGGGACCCTTTCCTTTTTTTGTATTTTGCCTCTATTAGATAGGAGAGCTAAAAAAGGCCAAGGTCTCCTCTGAACCCAAGGCCGCTGCGACAAGGGCCACAGCCATCGCACACCGGGTGCGGCACACAACCGTCAGGCCATCCAGCTCTCCAATACAGTTTTGCTAAAATGTACTGCAGTATGGGGAAACACTTACACAGCTAGATACATCATTATGCATCAGTAAAATCAGTCTCTATGCTTTCTGAGGTGTAGGAGTCGAGATTTTCAGCTGTGATTTTCTTCAGAACATTTTCATTGACGGGATGGGTGTAACCTCTGTAAACCTGTGCAAAAGATTATACAAAAACTGATTTTGATAAAACCAAAAATAAAACTAAAAATGTAACTTTGGTAATTAATGGAAGCTACAATCTGAAGCTTTTTAGCTACAGAGATTGACTATCCCTGAACCACAGCGTCTCAATTTGTAAGAGTTAAATGTGTTGGCTTTGGTGACCCCTTCTGGCAGTTTCAGTGCACAACATGATTCAGGTTTCTTTTTGCAATACATTCAATTGTGCAATATGAAATCAAGTTCACAAACATACCCATTGCAATTTAATAACAATGCTTAATTATGCAATTCTATACTGACAGATGATGTACGTAAAGGGCTTCAAACGGACATCCTAAAGCAGACACGTGTAAAAATAAATAAATACTGTGGTCACATCTCCATCAGTGGACTGCTTCCTCACCTGCTGAATAAAGTGTAGCCGGTTATGGTTGACATCATACTGGGTGAAAGAGGTCACTGGCTCTGGTCTCTCTCCCAGCGTCAGGTAGCCGTTGTCGGGCTTACTGATCACAAGGTAGTGCAGCTCCTCTGGAGGGGTGTCATGATCCTCAACCTGGACATGTTGATCGACAGGAAAGTGTGTGTGTGTGTGTTAGAAGTCTCAGACATGTCAGTCCTGTTCAGGTATTGTTGCCAAATTAAATGTGTTATAACAAAGACTATCTTCCAGATCGGCTCGTTTGGTAAAGTGTCTTGTGAAAACATTTGTTATGAATCGGCGCTACACAAATAAAGATTGATTACTTGACATTTCATATCGAAATATTTGTTTTCTCAGTCATGCTGAGCTTAAAAACCCATCCTTTATCTCAAAAATAATATTTTTTTAGTAAGAGTTTGATAGAAAAAAAACCTTTACTTAACACCAGATTCAGATTTAGCTTCAAGCAAAAATCTTTTGGAGGAATTCTAGAGATGATGAGGATTCTCTTGAATGCCATGTATTTTCAATTGTAAAAGAAAGCTATGAATATTTGTAAAATAAAACATCTAAGTGTGCTAGAAAGTCCCCATGGATCATTTGAAATCATTTATAAACAATCGTGATTCTAAAAGAAAAGCACCATTTAGAAAGCAAGTACAATTTTTGTTCCAATGTCACTTTGCATAAAAGTAGTCAAGTGCATCAGCGGCACCTTCCCTATTTCAAACTCGCCCACCTGCAGATTGTCCGGTCCAAGAACAACTCTCTCTCCCACTACAACCTTCATACTGGGGTTTCTGCTTCTGAGGAGTGGCGGCTGATCGTTGACCGGTGTCACCGTGATGTTGAACGTCTCCGTCACCGCCCAGCTGTCCTTCATATGATGCTGGGGAACAATGTCGAATGACGAAAGGGAGGACGATGATGCTGAATGGGGAGGGGATAAAGAGGAGGAGGAAGAAGAGGGAAATGTAGATAAAGCGGATAAAGACGACGAGACATCCAAAGGAGCCACCCAGGCACGGAAGGTGAAGCTGTCGCTTATTGTCTCTGAGTCATCGTGGATGTAAGTGATTCCAAACTTGTTTAGGGTGACCTGAGAGAAATCTGGTTTATTCCTGAGAAAAACGAAAAAAATAAAAGGACAAACGTATTAACATTATTACTTCATTTTAAAAAGATTTTAAAAGTACAAAAACACACCGATGAATAAGTACAAAAGTCAGACAAACACATGAGTTCAATACTTGTTGAGAGGAATTGTCATATGTCTCTGGTAAAAGGACTCTTCTGGAAAGTCTTTAGAAGTTTTAGAAATCCCACAATTCAACATGTAGCTGATAATCATGTTTACAAAGGAACTTTACAATATATGTTTTTTGAAAACAATAATAAGGAAGTATTTTCTTATGCTAGTTCCATTGCCTTGTCTGTGTTATTGTGTTCAAATAATATATTTGTCCCTGGATTTAACATGACTCATTTTGAATTTCATTTTCAGTTCATTAATGGAGACGCAGATGAAGGACCCGAATACCTGTTGAGGTTGTGTCCTCTTAGTGACAGGGCCCCATGGCGGGGCAGGGAAATCACCCTGTACATAATGACGTGGTCTTTCCGATAGGATTCTGGAACTTTACCAAGGAGATTGGAGGCGTCAAGTTTCGACCTGTCAATCATCACCCTGCCTCCCTCAGCCACCACAGCACCTGAAGGATGGAAACAAACACCTGAGTGGTCCTCCTGAACATATTTGTTTAATTACAAGAGGAAGAATCTGAAAAAAAAGTAATCGAGTATAGTTCCCATTTTTAGGAGTTTCTTTCTTTGGAGTGGACATTTTTGGAACAAACAGCCAAACAGTACCTGCATTGTTGAGTAGTCTGGTCTTGTATTTAGAGTCGTCGTGATGTTCGTTGGCCTGGTAGGAGATTAAGATGCTGAAGGTGTGCGGAGGAAGGAAAGCAGGAGGAGAGGACACAGTGAAAGAGAAGGAGTCTGCAGCTGACCATCCCACCAACTGTGGCTTGTTCTGGTCATAGAAGATTACTCCATCATTCAACTGAAAGACAGAGACAAGCAAATAAGGAGGGAGAAAAAGTTAGTTTGAGAAGAGTAATCAAAACAAAAAGATTTCAGGATATTGCAAAGCCAAACCACAAACATGCAATGCTCAAAGACACACAGATCTGTACCATGCTTTGTGTAAAAACAGAAATGTTGAGTGAAGAGTTGTCGGGCAAACGTTGGACCAGGCGACCCAGTTTAGGAGGAGCTGTCACTGCAAACACCACAGAGCGGTTTCTCCTGATGTCGATGACATCATTAGTTACGGCCTTCAGCTCCTGCTCAGATATGGGGGTCACAGAGCCTAAAAAGTGAGAGGAGAAGCTTTTAAAAAACATGCTTCTGTCTCACAGGACGGTGTCATGTTGGAAACAGGACGCAGCCTTGTGAGAATCATTTTCATTGCCATTAAGAAAAGTAAATTGCTGTTTTCTAAAACCTTTAATATATTAAAATGTGAAAGTAGATTCTTTATACAACATTATGACACGATGTTCTGAAGAGTCAAGAGATAATATTATGTCAGTACTTTATCACCACAGGCCAAATTGTTAAGTTGCTTCCAATTGTGTTGCTGACAAGTACAATTGTTATTAAGCTGCAATACATGAATACATGAATAGTATGTTGCCTTCATCAGGGTCATCCAAGACCTCAAGCCAAAACGCGTCGGTCTCATAAAATTGACAAAGTTGATCTTTATAATATAAGTGTTGATGGAGCATTTTGATCTCTTCAAGCCTTTCACTCTTAATGCACCTTGGTAGTTGGTGAAGTTGTGTAAGAAAATCCTACTCTACCTTTATTTTAAGAGAGATACATCTAAAAAACAATCACATGCTGGTTCATAAAGACCACCGGTTTGCTTTTGATTACAGAAATAGCTCCTTAGTAACATCACCTAAAAATCAGTGCTTATGCTTTGGCTGACCTTTAGAGTCAAGAGCTTCGTGGCACCATTCTTTTGTAAAGTGATACCTGGTAAGACCTCCATCTGACGATTTCTCTGCAGGGTAAGGACCAGAGAGTGGGCGGTTGTGCTGAAGATCTGGCGAGGGGCGATATTCACACCATCGTTTACCTGAAATTGAAATCCACCCGACAAAGCACCTACACAAGAATAGATCAGAATCAGGAAAGCGATGGGTTTTTTTCTTCATTCGTTGTTTTTAAATGTTCCATCTTTAATCCTTTTTCGTGCAGTGTTTCTTTGTAAGTTTTCCCAACTAAAGTCAGACTGAAACTCTAAATACCATTTATTGTTGTGTTTATGCTTTTCTATTTTCTTGTATTTCTTGGTTTCCTCAGGTTACCCCATGTTTAACATCTCTGGGATATTCCCTTAGGAAGGTCTGTAGGAACTCATGAGGAAGGAAAGTCTGTGACACTGTATGGACATCGAGATTGGGTCACATCACATACCACAAATATCCAAACACGCTCACCGCTGTGCACAAACACCAGTTGTCCAGTTTGAATGTGATTCTGAGTAAAGTTCAGGATCGGTCTTGAGGGGGCGCTCTTCAGTGCCAGATGGCCGTTGCTGGGTGGGGTGATGATGAACTCTAGCATCTCCGGTGGAGTATCTGAGTCCTCTGCACCAAGTTCATCATGGGTGATCTCTGTCACTGAAGCCATCCACACCTGAGGACACGAGGGGGAAATAAGGTAATTCCAACAAACATGTTACAAAGGTCCAATTCTTTGCCATGTTAACTTACCCCTCTGTTGCCCTATAGAGGAGATAAAATATTTTCAGCCTCTTTTCAAATCTGGCAATATTATAAATTCACACCAAAAAACATTATTTTTCACCTTAAGTGTGTTTTACCTAAACTTGAAATCCATTCATAACCACAAAATCTTCTTTGTTCTCCAAAGGTCATATTGACATTACTGTTAAAACCTTCATCCAATCATATCATGAAAAAATGACCATCTATATTTTTGTTTTAAATGTATTATACAACTAGGAGAGCAGTATCACTCTTCTTATTTAACTCTGTTAAAAGAGAACAATATGGTTTTATGAAGACAATTCTTGAAAGAGTTATGAGGGTATTTTTGTGTCAGTGTAAAAAAATCATGTTATTTTAACAACAAATGATACCAATGATAACCAATATCTAAATTGATTTTATTTGTTTAAAGAAACAGACCTATCACGTCTGATTTAACGTACAGTATTGAAGATACCCATGCATCATGATATCCATGTGAGTTAACATCAGTCAGTTTATTCTTCTCATCTATTTTCTCATCAAAAGTCACAACTTACAGTTTATCTGTTTGCTGTTGTGTGTCATTTTCAACATTAGTAATCATACATTATCCATTAAGGATAAGAAAAATTACACATTGAGACTCCAGCCCTTGGTCAGAAAACACTCATAATTCTCTGGATGCATATAATCTCTTCCCACCTTCAGACCTTTGTTGGTTGTAACAACAGGAGTCTCATCATTGACAGGCGTAACGTGGATGTGAACGGTGCAGGGCAGACTGTGCTTCCTGATTTCCGTCTGATTGGCTACAATGGTAAAGTTGTCTCCCTGCGTCTCGCTGCCATCATGGATATAGGATATGTACTCTCGTTCCACCTGGAAACAGAAGTGAGGACGGAAAAGATTCCAGCAGAGGTTAGATAGTCTGATGTTAAAATGCAACCACAAACCAACCAAAACAAAAAAGAGACAAAACTAAAAACCTTACATGGTTACTGTTGCAACAAAATGCTGCTCTGTGAAATTGGCATGGCTACTAAACAAACCTTTATTGAATCACTCTTTAAGACTCCTCATATCTTCCTAATTACCCATTGAATGAGAACAAGAGTCCACTCCAGAATTTCATTTGTTTCCTTATTTGTCTTGCACAGTCAAACCTCAGTGTGAGTGAAGGCAGTGATGGGCATTCCCGGGATCCGGCTGTGCTCCAAGTGTCCGTGTCGCGGTGGAACTATGACCTGGTACAGGAAGTTCATCCCTGAGAAGTGATGATTGGTGACCTTGATGACATCTGAGGTCAGTGGCAGAGATGACCCCTCATCAAGGGTCAAGTCAGATACCTGTAGAATGACCAACAGAGAAATATTAGACTGATTGACTTGTTTGTTGTTGGCTTGGTTGAGTTTGTGAAATTATTTTTAACACTGTTAATTTTTATTAGCATTTTTTGTGCTAATTGTACTCCGACAGATCCATTTGTTACCTGTAGAGGAATCATGATAGGTATGATATCAACCTCCAGCCTGATGGGTCCGACCTTTGTCATCCCATTGGTCGCCTCCAAAAGAACAGAGTCGTTGACACTTCCTGCAGCCTGATGGTGGTAGATAATCAATCCCTGGTTGAGATCCTCCTGAGTAAAAGAGTTTGTTTGCTGCTCTCTGATGTTCTGCAATGAGGAACAGAGTAGATAAACCCATCAAAGGCTGTTTCTGTTTGAATACTTTGACAACTTGAAGTTTAAGTATGGTGCATCAAAGTGCAGAGTGAACAAAAATATGCTGGGGAGGGACATGTGACAAAAGACTGACTACCCACTAACACCAGAACATCTGGTGTTTCTGTAATCATGGCTAAGTCGATGATCAAGGAAATAGACTTTTAAAGCCTTTCATCATGTATCCTGCACCAGCAGATAAAGCCTTTGAACAATACCTGCCAAGCAACAAATTGCATCTGGCTTTAGGGTGGGGCATTTCCCTGTCTCATCTATTGGGCTCTAAACCTTAAAAAGGTGGGATACCATTTTGGCTGTAGAGTTGGCTTTACTTGATAAAAGTGCTCCTGTTTGCCTTCGTAGGTTTGTTGCTTGACGTCGGGGGAAGACCTCTGGAGGAAACCCTCGGTGGGATGACTTTGAACGAAAAAAAATATCTGTTTGGGCTGGCTGTCCTCGTGAACCACCTGTTCAGTCAAAACAGTAGATTTTAAAAAAATTATTTGGGGGGGGAAATAAGTATATTATACTAATGTATTCTGTAAATCTTAGAGTAAAAACATGTGTGGTAAAATTATTAATTGGTCACAAAATGGTCATTACCTCTAAGGTATCCCTGCTTATGGAGACATTACTTCCCTCAGTCACCAGCAATGGACGGTTACTGATGACTGTTGGTGGTCTTTGGTGACTCTCCAGGTAGATTTTTACCGGCACCCCAATGTCAAGATGCACCTCCCTCCTCCCTCTCTCAGGTCGCCTCTCTGTGCTCTTCTCCTTTGCTCTTGCAGTTACATTAAAATGATCTGATAACATTTGGCTGCCATCATGTTGATACACCAGGCGCCCTTCTGACAAATCTCTCTGGGTGAATATCGTAATTGGATCTGTTGCTGCAACACTCTCACGATCTTCATCATTGAAGAAGAGCAAACCATGTTTAGGTGGAAGGAAGACCTCAAATGTCACTTCCTGCGGGTCTCGGATGTCAAGGTTGCTGAAGACACTGAGGTTGGCTGAGGTCAAAGTTATAAGCCCCCCTTTCTGGACAGTAAGGCCTGTGTTGTTCTCAGTCTGAAGGTAAGGATCCTGGGCAGTCACCTATACAAGCCAGTGGATTGCACAAATGGACAGGAATAATTAGTATATAGCAGCAGTCAGTAAAATTCAATATCAATAATACAATATAACTTCAGATAAAAACAACAAATAAAACAAATAAAAATACAAGTTTGAAGAAGATATAATCACCTCCATCAGTGTTGACACGTAATGTTTCCCATCTGATATGAAAAGGACAAATCGCCCAAAACTCACTCCTCTGTGAACAAACAACACCTTTTTCTGAGAGACAAAGAGAGGAGATTTAGCCAGAGGGAGAATCACCAAGCTTGAGGAAATAAATATCAAATAACTTAAGGAACACCACCACGTTTCAATAAAATACGTAGCCAACCATAAAGATAGAATCACAATACAGCAATTCTGCTGTAATTGATAAAGGCTACTGTATGATATCTGATTATCTGAAAATTGCATATTGGCCCCAAAAATGCAGGATTGACATATGTATGCACTGAAGTTTGACCTCTAATAATGATATATTGTAACTTTTTTCACCCCTGTGTGACATTATTCTGCTGCCTTTTGTAACTTCACCTGTGTTAACATTACCCTCATTCATGTCATAAGCCACACTGTGACAAGTCATAAAGTAGTGACATAGTGCGTCAAATTTAAAGGGAAACTTGTTTAGATTCCCTTTTTTTTAAATAAAATCATCAATACCTGGCAACAGCGATTCAATAACAGAGTCACATGAGGACAGTATCAATGATTTGTCCCGCCCTTAATATTTGGATTGGTCAGATATTGAGGATCCCACAAGGGTCGCTTACTTCATAACACAGACATATCTGAAGGCTTCATTCTACATTATAAGCTGTATTCTACAGGATTACCAAGAACTTTTCAAGATGAATCATCCTTACCTGCTCGAGGTCCCGCTGTGTGAACTCGTACAGCTTGTGGCTTGGATCACTGGCCAGTACCAGCTCACCCATGGGAATTCCCCTCCGCGTGTACACCAACCAACTCTCATCAAAGTCCATGTCGTCATCCTGGTAACGAAGGTCACTCAACGTGACCAACCTCTGCCCATAGCGGGCAACATGGAAAACTTTATCCACAACCCTGACAGGTCTCTGGTCATTGACAAGCTGCACAGAGATATTAAACATGTGTTCGCCTGTGTTTCTATCCTCCTTCTTGTTAGTGTGTTTGTGGGGTTTGTTGACCATAACTTGAAATGTAAAGGAATCCTGCTTGGTCTCACTGTCATCATGAACATACATGATCCTCTCCTCAATAATATCCTGATTTGTGAACATCACAATGTTGTTGTTGATGGAAGTGGAGTTGGAGAGGTTGATCCTCCTTAACTGGCCATGTCTGGGGCTCACACTGACACTGTATTGAACCTCCAGGTTACCTGTTGTGTGAGTGAACAAAATATCTTTATTGATGACTTTTCCTCCTCCTTCCAGGACTGAAAGGCCTGTGTTCAAAACTGTGATGACTGTCAACTCGGCTTTAATGTTGATTCTGAAGTCGTACGTTGTTGAGTTTGCGTGTTTAGAAAACACCTGATAGCTACACGTGTCTCTTGTACCGTAGTGTAACCTGTTGAACAGCTCGTACTTCACCAAGCCATCTGTAATGTTCTGTTGGCTGAAGGTAGACCTCCTTTTCAGGACTCTGTTATTCAGGTACAGCTTCCCTTTCTTTGGTAGTGTAAGCAGTCTAAAGTAAAGGTCACTCTCATTGAGTCTGACACCCTTAGAAATCACATGAAGGTTTTCGGGTGTGACCGCCGTACTTAGAACACCATTGACCTCCATTTTGCTTCGTGTGACCTTAAAGTGGATACACCGAACCATGACTGGGAATACAACCTCATTGGTGGCCATGGCACCAACCGTGATTTTACATTTGAAGCGATCAGTGATGTTGTGATGAGTCTGAAGGCCATGGACAGTGCTGACATATCGGATCCGTTCCTTCTTTAGAAGGCTCTGAGAGAAAGAGGTTGTTGATTTCCATCCGCCATTGGAGTGCAAACGCTGGAGCTCACCATATTGTGGCAACTCTGTGATGTCATAGCGGATTTCCACTGCCTGATTAGCCCAATTAACTTGTACAGCGAGGTTCATGGTTGTGATGACGGAGGCTTCGCCTTGGTTCATCTCCAGTCCAGTGTTGTTAACCACTCTGAGTTCCAGTCTCACAGCCAAAATTCTCAAAACAACTGTGTTGCTTAACTGTGAAAAAGAGAAATAAAACACCAGTGGCGATGACAGAAGATATAACACTCGAGCAAAGTAATTATAAAACCGTATTTTAGGCAAGTTACTATTCCTTCTGTCCATTGTTAACTCTAACGGCTAGCCTAGTGCCATATTATGCTGCACGCAGGCACAAGGATGCTAACAACAGCATGCCAACATGCTTAAAATAAAACATTTCTTTGAACAGATGTTTTCTATTTTCACAAATTCTGTTATGCTAACATTTGCTTTATATGACTAAGTATGAACCACAACAAGATCTGACAGGAATAACCTTTCTTAATGTGATTAAAGAATTATTGCGTTTGGGAAAGCGTCTGCTTACTTACCTTCTGTCCATCGCTGACCCTAAGTGCCAGTCTCGAGGTTGAGAGGCCAGTGTGGACAAAGCTTATCTTACCATCCTCAAGATCATTCAGAGAGAACAAATTAATTGCCCTGAAAGATGGATACAACGATATTAGCTAGCACGTCTGGTTCTGTTTCCGACTCTGCTGACTACCATTATGCCTCTCCATTTGCTCTCTGTAAAGGGATTCAGGGACTCATGATAAATGAGACATCTGTGAGGTAGCAGTAATCACGTAAACATACTTCTATTGGCTCTGCATGTTATGAACTGTTGTAAAGGTTAAGTCGGCTAGTGGTATCTATCACCAATTTAAAAATGAATAGGATTCATTTAAAACATTTACACATCTTTTGAAGCTAACTTTGCCTGAGTTTTTAACCATATATGTATGCAGTAGACAGTATAAAAGCGAATTCTATATTGGTCTGATTGGCTCTAAGAAGATTTGGGATGAATTTTAAGCCTTATAACAAGCACCGGTACAAACCTGCCAGGGTAATCCTGGTGCTCAAGGTGTCCAGCCTCAGTGTTGAGGTTTCCGAGGGAGCTTAACATCAGTTCTGAAGAACTGCTGTCAGGGTCCAACACTCTCAGCACATCTGTTGTCAGCTGGGGAAAATGTGGAAGTATGACATTTCATTTTCTAGACAACACATACATTAGCATATCATTCAAGCAATCTGCTGTAACTACCTGTCTTTTGGACTTTTCTAGAACAGTGAAAAGATTTCCCTCTGGGAGGCTGAGCACAGGTGCATCATTGACAGGACTGATGCTGATATCAAACCGATGCAGGCGGTTGCCCTTCAGAAACACAGGAAGCTTCCTCTTATTGTTGGAGAAGACTGAAAACATGAAGAAGTCATGCTGGTCTTCTGACCCACTGTGAACGTACATCACCCGGCCCTGCCAAAGGTCCAACATACTGAAAGTCTGATCAAACTCTTCTGCTCCTAGAGTCCTCTCCTCCTGTGTATCACTTAGAATCCCATCAGTGTATGGACTGAGGTCCAACCGGAGCTGGCCATGTGCAGGCTGCCCCTCTATGCGGAACATTAACTGAGCTGGATGAATGCCAAATTTCCGCAAATCCAGATTTACCTGGAATGGAGAGCAAATGGGGAGTCATTTATACATCAGCCTCATCATATTAAAAAGGAAAGGACTTTGATATTAGAAACCTGTGCCAAATCTGAAAGGAAAAACTACAAACTAAAGTAACAGATTAATCAGAGATAACCAGACCTACCCTTATGTGTTTTGGCTCAAGTGGTGCACGGCCTCCCTCTACCACCTCAAGCTTTCTCAATGAAAAAAAGTTAGGGTTCTTCTTGTTGTAGGTAGTAGGTTGAGTAGTTGTTACATCAAAGTCTTGACAATCTGTTGGGCAAATGGTTGTCACTGCATCTGGAGTTTGTTGTGTCAAACAGCCCACAGTGATGTCCTTGGTGATGACTGCATTAGGTAGGCCTGTTCTTTTAGCGTTCACCCTAATTTCTCGGAGGCAGCCTTTAAAGGAGACTCCACCCCCAGCCAGTTTCCCTCCAGGTACATCTGACATCAACCCAGCTCGCCTTGCTTCTACACGGGCTTCTTTGTTCAGTCCTCCGAGAAAAAGGGGTCCATTGAGCTGGATGACCTGCAGCTCAACACTCAGATTGGCCTGGACCAATTCTTCATCCACTTTAAGATGGACACTGTGGGCAGCAGGTGCAGCTTAATGGGATACCAGGTGGGGTTTCTCTGAACATTTGTTAGAGAACGCAGCTCAGTCATACTCCCCTTTCCATTTCCTAGTGTTGCAATCAGGTGACCATCACGTAGTTCTATGGCAACAAACTCTCCCTTGTTCCCAGAGCTATACAGCACCATGCCATCTCCTTCTCTTGCAGAAGGCTGCAATTCACATTCAAACACAGCCTCCTGTTGGACCTCCCATGGTGTGAGAGATATAAAGGCTTTGGAGCTGAAAAAACTAACAGAATCTTCTACTGTGGCAGAAAACTGTGAACTACAACCCAGAGAGACTTCATGAACACTCTTGTACCCAGAATAAGGCCTAAGAGTGGACAGCAAGTTATGTTCATTGAACACAGCTTCGTCTATACAACCTCTAAATCCAATAGAAATGTTGAGAAGATTTGGTTGCTTGAGTCCAGCTGCCCGCCAACAAAAAGTCCATCCTCAACATTGAGCCTCAGATCTGGTCCTGGCATATGGAGGCTGGTATGAGAGTTTCGGTCCACGGTCATATTTACAGTGTGATGGTCGTGGATCAGCTCCAAGTAGTGCCATGCTAGGTCATTAAGATGCATGCCCCTTTCTGAGTGTAATGAGTGTTCACCTGATCCGAGGTCCAGACGTACCTGAGGCATGAAAGGGGCAGGAGGGAAAGAGCAAGGGAAGGCAGGAAGGAAAGGTACATGAAATACAAATCTAGTAAGTCAAAGCAATACACTTGAAAGCAGACATACAACGCTGATGCGATGTTGAGTGTGCCAAATTATGACTGTAGATTGAAAAAACAGTCAACTAACAAAAATGCAACTAAACTATGAGATGAGCAACTCTGTGCCCTGTGTTTTAAGTTTACATCAAACTATTGCAGCCTTCTCCTTATCCTGGGTCATGAATGAACTTGTTCTGAGATGAACCCAGTGCCACTGGGTTATTTTTTCACTTTGGGAGTAATCTGACACCCAGGTGTGTGAGTTCAGACTTCTCTCTGGTTCCCCTTGGGATAGTAAAAGCCAATATGAGGTAGAATGGCCCAAGGCACAAATATTTTATCCTATGTTGATGGTGTAAGGAATCTTTATGAGGTCTTACTTTGACTCATTTGATGTTATTAAATCTCAAATGGTCTTTCCCCAGAAAAAAAATCAAATAGTCACATCGTAGTACTCTAATGTAATGATTAACTTATTTGCCTTGCTTGTTTTTTCCCATTGAGAAATAGATTCCCGTCAGTTGCTTTTCACAAGTGTATTATTAATCCTAGTTGCAGTTTCTGTATACCTGCAGACGCCCAGATATCAGCTCCAGCAGCAAGAAGTCTCTACGTCCAGCTGCCAAAAAAAGAAGCCCTGTCTGACTGGAGGTTCGAAAACGTACATGGAGCAGCGTCTGAATGGAGGCTTCCACTGTCCGTAGATGGATGTAGCCATCACCATAGAATGACACTATAACAATGAAAAAAGTGAAGGTGAAAAGTCAAGGTTGAAAATGTTTTCCAAGAATGTGTGTAAAGTTTTTACTGCATTCTAATGCAAATGTGGAGGGTTGAGATGGTATAGACCAATAGCAATGGCAGATCATTTGGTTCCATATAAATAAGCAGCTTTAGTATTCCACAACATTTTTGGTAATATGCTGTCACAAAGTAACACATTTGAAATCGAATGGAATTCCACGGCAATGAAACCAATGATAACATAGTGCTGCATACAATGCTTTTGTGTTTCAAGAAAAACATCCCAACATCTCACAAATAAAAAGAACATTTTAGCTAAGGATTTAATTCTGCCAAGGCTTTTCCATTAATTTGTAGACTATTGACTGGCTTGTCGATGTGGTGTCTACTCTGCACTTTACACCTGTTATCCGAATTCAATTAATGACAGCTAATGCGTTCTGCAGCGGGTCATCTGATGCTAATTAGACTTCCACCATGACCCAAATTGCCCCATTTGGACATAAATACTCTGGGAAGCACAAATAACATCACATGGCCAAATTGAATTGAATAACCTACTAGTTGACTTAATGTAATTACAAATATGTAAATTGAAATATAAATTAGGATCATCATTATGTACCTTCAGTCTAAATATTAGCTATCCATCTATAGCTAGTTTGAACAGGGAATAGTGCAAAAATAAATAGCCCCCATTCATGCTTGTTACTCATTGAGGCTGTGTTCAGGCACAGGGCTTATAAGAGTGCAACACACAGATGTCTATTGCTAACACGTACCAGGACAATGCTGAACTTTACTAGCTATATTTATACAGTAGTAGTCATCATATTAGTGTCTGTCATGCTAATGCTTATTAGCACTAAACACAAAGTAGGCCTATAGCTGAGGAGGGTGTTACCGGCCATTGTTTTGCAGGTACTCGTCACAAACCATTATCATGGATAAGTTACAATTTTAACCTGAAGAAGGCACTACTAATTGTTCAATGATCACCCAAGCATTTATAACTGACCTCATCTCTGGGGAAACATAAATGACTTTATGGAAATCCATGTCACCATCATGGTGCTGATGGTGAGATGGCCATGAGGTTTCTAAAATCGTTAGGATACATTATCTGGGAACCACAAAGGTCTTTAGGTCATTGGAGAGTGGTTAGATAATTTAGTCTGGACTAAAGTGGTGGAGCAGCTGACCAACTGTCTGTCCATAGTCATGTCCTGAGTCTTTCACTTATTGTGGCTTATAATACATGAGGCAGTACTGCTGTCCTTCATTTTTTATGTATGGACACAAACATAGGTTATGCATGACCAAAACTTTATTTGTAAGTTTATATATTAGTTGGACCAGATCACACCCCCACTTCTCTGAATCTAAAAATCAGTAGTCTAGATTTTAATTGATTTGACCCATTTGAGCAGCAGTGTGGGAGCACTCTGTCAAAACGACCGTCAATTTGTGGAAACCTTCTCGCAGCAAATACAGGTCAGAAAGATGACGTGTGCATGTGTGAGAATGGTTGCTGAGAATGTCTTCTTCACTTCTAAATATTTTTTTCGTATATCAGACTCTTTCTGTCTTTTCTAAAAATAGTTAATTGGCATGTAGGGGGAAAAAACAAAGCAGAGCTATTTGATCAAAAACATGAATCACAGAAGCTCCTTCCTGTAAATAGGAATACACAGTCAACAGTGTAATTACATAAAAGCCAGTAATTCATGATCCCACACCAAACAGATAAAAAGTCAATCAGCAACAAAAGCTTGACTTTCACCATCAGGGAACTCATAACAATTTAGTGTTTTGCCAACTGTGTTTTGCATAATGTTGAAACTGTTTTTCCTGCAGGTAACATAGCTACTTGATTTGCATAACAATTTACAAAGTTTTCTTTTTATTTAAGGTAAAACTTTTTTTTTTTTTTTAAAGTTTGATATTTGATATTTGTAAAAACAAAAAAAAGTATGAATATAAAAATAATGTAGTGTTGTATATTGAGAAATTTCTACCAGAAAAATTATAAGCGTAGTAATTAAAAAATATATTTATAGGTGTATTAAAAGGCTGCATGGTCCCAGTGAGAAGTCCTTGGTCAGCAGGCCGGCCCAGCATGCCACTCAGCATAAAGCCTCTAAGCCCACAGCCAGTATAGCCTGTGTGCGTCCATCTATCTGTAATCTGCCTCAATGATACCATTGAACATTGGATTATTAGTAATCGCCCTTCCGTCACAGCTCGAATATGGAGAAAGGTCTTAAATGCTCTGTCATTAGCAGGTATTAAGAAATAGACATATGACACTGTTTGGAGCTATGCTGATAGCCATGAGATGTTATTCATGCATGCAGCATTTTTTAGGAAGAGATAATATGGCATCAATTTGGACTCAAAATAAAATAAATATTGCTTGCATAATGAAATGTTTTTCCATAAAGTTAAAATAAAAAACAATTTAACAGGTTTAATACTTGCTTTAGGCAAATTTTACAACCGCACAATATTACATTACCAAATTATTTACACAATTTTAAACATTGTGGTAGCATTTGCAGAGCAATGTGACAACCTATCACTGCCAAAATTAACTGCAACATTCCAGCCAATACATTATCCAGCAGTCTAATGATATAAGATTGCCTTTAACATTAAGCTGCTTATTCACAAAGAGATGTAACTTAATCAGAGAGTGTGTAACAGTGATGTTGCATTTCCAACTTTAGCTCTCTCTTTTATGGCAAATCTTAAGAAGGGATTTGATTTACCTTTAAAGAACAATAACATTTTGTGTATGTGTATGATTAAATTACACTTAATATGTTTGCACAGTAAACTGTAATGTCACATGCTTTTATGGAGAAAAACTTCTGCACTTAAAACTTATCCATCACAACAATTCAACAAATCAGCCATCTTAAATAAAGCATCAATTTTAGTTGCAACTTTGGATCAAAGGGAGAAGAAGCCTTTGCAGTGCCTTACCTCCATAAACTTGTCCTGTGGAAATCAGCAGAAGAAGAAACAGATCAGCTACAAATCTCCCCATTGTTAGTAAGGACACTGAAATCTTGCATTTAGTTAAGAGCAACATCTGGCTGCTTGATTCTGCCATTCATTGTCTTTGCAATTCATGGCTCAGTCATGCTGCAACTTAATGTCTGTACTTGCTTTGCTTGCTTTGGCGCACAGCCTTTAAAATATGTACCTGTGCTTGTGAACACAACACAGAGAGGTAGAGCTCCTCCCCCTGACCCTCCCCTTGGCTGTTGTCCTTAGTACTGAACATGAACACCAGAGGGAGGTGTCATTACACAAAAAAGAGGCGCTCACTAGAAAGTGTAGCAGACTGTGAGTTTTTGTTCACAGAGAAACCTCGATTACACTTCATGTCTATGAAGACTATCAAAGGCTGAAAAAAAACACATTAAGTAGAGTAGGATTAATAGAATAATATGAGTGGAACCAATCCTTTTCTGAGCAACTTTTTCTGCTGTTTTTCTGTTACACATAAGCATGAAGATAAGCAGCACTTAGAAAAGAATATAGTTCATTATGTATTTATTTTCCTGCTGTATAAATTAATTCTTACAAATATGTATTTACTTTTATTATGATCATTTGTGTTTTGTAATGTCTAATGTGAAAAGGGTCAAAGTCCAATGTGGCTGCCTGGCTGCAAGAATACAAGTACCCGTTGCAAAGCGACCACTGTGGGATTTACTGATGCACCAATAATTGATGCATGTGTATTTTCCATTGTTAGAAAATGTTATCACAAGTCATCCTTTATGAGGGACAAGAGGTTCAATAAACACTCTATTTTTTTTATTAGGTCATATCAAGATAACTTTCGTTCTGTGGTTGTCTTTTTATGTGAGCTGAGTTACCTTCACATTCTTAACACCAAATCCCATTTTAGATACAATATAAGTCAATAAAGTCTATTTTTTCTTTATTAACTTCATGAAGTTGGTCCTGATCTTTAGCATCTGCTGCCAGGTGTTTTTTCATTTCTTTATCAGACAATATTTTTTACAACTGCTCTCTAGATCAGTATTTTTAAAGTGGGTCATGTTTTTTTTTGAAGGGAAGGGGGAGGGATCAAAAATAAAAATAAACTAATAACATTATTAGTGACAATAACATTACAATATATTTATTTTTAGATTTGATTCATCATTCAATATCGACATTTTTGTGTTCCATTTTTTTCATGCAAATCTTTAAATACATTTAAAAAACACACCACTCTCTTGGTAGTGGCTGTGGCTCAGTTGATAGAGTCGGTCGTCTCTCAACCGGAAGGTCATGACTCCAAGTTAAGTGTTCCCGTTACTTCTTATGACCACCGTAAAGCAGCCTCTGCCATCAGTGTGTGGACGGGTATGAATGGGTAGAAGTGACCTGGGCTTGTTACTACATGAGTAGTCAAAAGACTTGAAAAGCGCCCTATACAAGCTCGAATCCAATTAGATGAGCCAATCAAAATCAAGCAGCAGCTATGAGTGACACTGATATACCTCTGATAAGTTGCCTACCATTTAAAAAGTGGTATGTCTCATTTTTTTAAATTTGCTATTTCAAATACAAGGGAACCCCTGCTCTCGATCAATAATGAAATAAAGACATACACATATTACTAACTTTGCCTTATATAAACTATGGCCTATCGAGGATGCCCCCAACTTCTCACCTTATGTTAACAATAGCTTTCAATGACCCTTAAATGTTGTGTGGGTATGGAGAATGTATATTGTATAATGTATCTGTGACGGTGCATTGTTCTTTTAACACCTACAGTATGTACAAGACAATATAAACGTTTTACAAACAAATACACAGATAACATCCCTCTGCATCTTAACATTGGAATTTTTGCGCAAAAAAATCTAAAACATGCAGCTGAAGGTGAAAGCAGGAAAAGTATTGAACAAGTTAAAGTAAGTTTTCATAGCAAGTCCACATCTCAAATGACATTTTCAAAACTCATTTCATTTAAACACGTAAGAGATCAGAAAGAGTTCTGAAAAAGCACAGCTTGCCCGAGAAAAGGTTCTCGGTTAACAGTTATTTTAAATGCCAGTAGCCATTTAATTGTCTCAGCGTGCAGAGTGGGAAAGTTGAGAAAGAAAAGAAAAGAATACATCAACTTGAAAAGTAGAAAGGAACAGAGTGTGCAAAACTGCTAAAACAGAGAAGCCAGAGAGAGAGGAGGTAACGGGAGGGACATGTGCAGTGGCTGATTGAGGCAAAGTGGAAGCTTGGGTTAGATTGTTCAGACAGAAGGACAAACTCCCTTAGATTGTATCCTGAACCCCTCCCACCCTCTAACCTACTGCCTCTATGCACACACATTGAAATGTTGCTGCAGCTCAAAGGAGAGTTTGCTCCATTAAACTGTTGAAAGAACACATAAGGGCTTTATTCAGCTGCTGATTCAAACTCTGCTTGGCTGGCACATGAGAGGAGTGTTGGGTTTAGGTTTAGTTCCCAGGATGTTGAATAATAAACTCCCCAGCCTGGTTTCTTAAATGAAAAGGTCACACCCAAAATGGGTCACAGTTCAGCCGGTGAGGGGTCCTCTCATGACGAGAGTGGTAGTGTGTTTTAATGAGCCTGGATCCCACGCTGAGAGGATTACCCTCCTGTCTTTTGGTGTTTCTTTAACTCTTAGGCTGACGAGCAGACAGACAACTGAGAGTGTATATTGTGTTCACGCGCAAGGAATACATTTTCTTTGGGAATCATTAACATCCATTCTGCAGCTTAATGCTGTACTCATGAAAACAAATGAATCACATATAGATAGAAGGTTGTCGTAAAGTGGTCACGCAAATAACACCATAAACTCTGGCAGATATTTTATTAGCACTTGGTGCTATTTGGGGAAACACTGAAAGTTGGA